TTTTAAAATAAGTAAACAATCCAAAACATGATATTTTCAGGGATTTTAGGCCTTAATGGTCCTTTAAGAAGGCTCTGAAACTCACCTAGGTATAAAAAACAATTTTTGTTTTGTTCGTTTGTTTTCTTTGTAAACATTGCAAAGGGTTGTGAAACCATGGACAACGTTTGGACCACTTCCTTCTACTATTATTAGTACTACACTGTAAGTACATGTAGACCTACCGTCACTACGGTAGCTTGGGAAACCCCGCTCTAATGAGGAAATCGGGGATTTCCCGATGAGCATTAGAGTTGGGGTTCCCCCAACCTCGTCCCCAGGGTGTCGAGCAGTACGCGCCCACCACTGCCTGCTCTCTCACCCTGGTATTGGATCATTTGCATACGTCCAAAATTTTTGGACATGCAAAAATAGGAATAGTCTGGTGCCTGCCTGTGCTTTACATCAGCGTTTGTTTTTGTGTGCGGTGTCTGTGGTAAAAACAGAATCAATGTCTGTAGACTAGTATGAGCGTAGACCTGTATGTTAAAGTTTTGAAGAAAAAATAATAACTTCTACATGCTTTCATGGATTTTGATGAAACTTGGATGCAGTGACCCTTGGGTGGGAAGACACAATAGATTTTTGAGGTCAAAGGTCATGTAGGGGTCATTAGAGGTCATTGTTCAAATACGCTTCAAATGTTTCTTTGTCTACAGAATTTGATGGATTTTAATGTCACTTGGATGGCTTGATCCTTGGGTGGGGTTAATAACAACCCTTCAGAAATTGAAGGTCAAAAGTCATTAGAGGTCATTGTTCAAATATGCCTCAAATGTTTCTTTGTCTACAGAATTTAATGGATTTTAATGTCACTTGGATGGAGTGATCCTTGGGTGGGGTTTCATCATAACTCTTCCAAAATTGGAGGTCAAAGGTCATGTAGGGGTCATTTGAGGTTGTTTAAAAATGCACAAAATTTGCATTTTTTTGTGAACACAATACGTAATCTAGGATCAACCGCGGAAAAAGGCATTACATGCGGGCCACGGACCACTTGTTTTGGTAGTAAAATTTGGACTTTCTGAATGCCTGGCATTTTGAGCAATATTGTCGGAAACTTAATTACCTAATAAATAAATTCAACCTCACTAAAAAGAAGCACACCGGGAAATACAAATAGGACAAAACAGAAAAGAAATTAACAGTTAACAGACTGTGAGTTGTCTACAAACAGGAAACAGTAAGGGAACCCTAGCTTGGGACATTGTCGCTCACGCAATACCATTTTACTGGATTGCTTTTTCAGTTTCAGAATCTGAAACAGAATGTCTGTCGTGATATGGTACTTTCGACTGGAGTCCCTAACCTTAACTGAACTCAACCCATCAAACCCCAACGGCATGTTTTGTTGGAATCCGTCAGGATGGTACAGTACCCTAAACTGACAGTCTTTTACATTGGGTTGGCACACCTCCAGAAACAAAGTCAGAAATATGTGTGTGCAGTTTCCCACATGGTGTTGGAATTTGCCAGGATGGGCATTGGTTCCTAGTAAATCATGCTACGGAGTTGGGGTTAAAGGTTTTTGCACCCTCTTCCTCTTGTGCATAGAGAACATCATCACAGCAAACGGCAACATGTAATACTGTTCCATTTGTAATAGATTACTATAGTACATGTATAACCCTAACGTACCTGAAAAGTTTGGGGATTTTGATGGATTCAGGACTGTAAGCCTAGTGGTACTGCAGGATTTTGATGGATTCAGGGTACCTCCATATTGAGCAGTTGGGGACTTTGATGGATTCAGGATCTCAACAGTTTCACTCCTTGGCTATATGTTTGGTGTGTACGAGGTATGTACTACCCTGGTCATGCTGGTGGATTCTGATGGACTCACTGGTGGGTTGTGATGGATTCAGGACACCAACCTTTTATTGCATGACAAAATTGGTGGATTTTGGCGGATTCAGGATACATTTAAGTAAAATTGCTCAAGGGGTTAGGGTTAAAGGCACGTAAATGTAGGGACTTTTGCAATTACCCGAAAATGTACCTACCGATTTAAGGAGAAAATCCTTGCTCAAAGAGACAATAGGACTTCAACCAAATACCCTTAGGAATTATTTTACGTCTGAAATTGTATCATTTGGAAGAAAACATGAATTGAAGGTGGTTTAAGAAACTGTTCCAGAGGGCACAGATTTTTACGTGCGTTAGCAACAGAATCCGGATACAAGACCCTAAAAAAATGTGCATCCATTTTCTCTATTTTCTCGGAATGTATAGTATCCACTAAGCTGAAACTTCAACAAATTATTTGTTAAGATTTGGAGCAATTTTGTTGCTTCAAACAAAAAAAATTCACAAAAAGCTGATGTTCCCAACAAATACCTTTAAATGAATTCAGAATGTTGCTCAATAGGGGAAACATTATAATTCCTGGCGCTGCACATTTACATTTGTACCAATCATAAACAATTGAGGTTCATGAACTGAAAGTGAACCGATTCAGTTTTGATTGATTTTTTTATAGAGGCTGAGAGTCCACAAACTATACTGTATCCATAGTGGTTGCTTGCCTTAAAGGGACACTAGGTCCTGGAACAGCCCAATTGGGCTACAAAACGCGCTTTGAATGAGAGGATGATAATCGGAAATAACTTTTAAAAGTAGGATATAAACATCCACACAACTATCCTTTCAAAACTGGGCGTTTTTGTGTTATTCCTGTATTATGCGTGCGAGAACGAATTTCGGGGTCCACTTTTGCGACCCCATAAATTCGAGCTGTTTGGATGCTAGTTGTGATTTCATTCATACGCGTAAAGTGTTCGCCTTTTGCGGACGTTGAAGAAACCACAATTTTTTTGCATTGGTGATTGGTCACCGCGCGCTGTTCCCGAGACACACAACCTGTATAGCATACATGAGAACGACACAAAAAACGTATTCGTACTCCGTCATGTCCGATGTAAACAAGCGGGTTTTTTTCGTCCTTTCTGGGGAACGGTGAGACATTAGGTTGGTTTCCTTTCAACCAGATGTTTGAAATAGGCCAAGTAAACAATCCAAAACATAACATTTTCGGGGATTTCAGGACCTAGTGCTCCTTTAAAAAAGCGATCCTGGTAATGGTTTGAACTAAAGCACATGTACATGTAACTTATTTATTAGGTTTACTTACATGTATGTTCATGTAATACGTATGTTCTTTATTCTTTCTTAAATAAAAGGTAAGAGTTAAAATTAATTTTAAAAAAATTATTTTTGATTTTTGTACAATGTTTCACTCAAAGATTCAATTCCCTTTTTTACTTCCTTTTTTTTTGAGTATATATATATATTTATTTCCTGTCATGAAATTACTCTGTTTTATCTGCCTCTATAGGTATGGTGATATGCATTATTTTAGGGGGAAAATTGATGACTCATGTGCACTTAAAGGGAATGTACATCATTGGCTTTTGCTGTAATTTTCAGAAATGAACTATTTGAGGGGTTAGTATAATAGATCAAATATTGTTTCACTGACATGTTTGAAGTTTTGTGTTCAAAAATGCTGGAAAAACCAAGCAAAACAAAAATGTTCAAGTAGTCTGGTTCCCTGACTCCACTAAAGATGAAATGGATCAATTTATATACATGTAGATGCCGGAAAATTGTAAGGTAAGGGAACTAGTCTAGCTGGTCTGCACCCGTTCATGACGTGTAACCAATAGAAAACAAAATTTGGACTGAAAAAATTGTAAATTTGGAGCAGTAGTTTAAATATAGTTAGGTTTTTCCAATGGTGGTCGGCCGACCATTGTTGGAAATTTATACAAAATACCACTTTTCTTGAAAATGACTTCACACCAGGTGCCATAATTTTACAGGATGATTTAGACTGTCATTTATCAACATCCTAGTAAGGTATTTCGTAAATATTTGATAGTTTTGTTTTTCGATGTTTGCAAATGTTGTATATTCCCTTTAATTGAACAAACAAACTCAAGTAACTAGTCATAATAAGAATCTGGAATATTTCACTTCTTGATCACATAAATTATAGCAACCAGTGATACGAACAGAAACCGTTCATTTCCTGTTTCCCTTTGTTAATCTTTTTATCTTTGACCTTTAAAATGTGTAAATAAAGCACTGGCGTTACACACAGTTACTGTGCGGTTTCTGTTATGAATCTGGAAAAATAAGGTCAAACCAAGTCAGATGAATTTTGATTAAATGAGATAACAGGGTGTTCATTTGACGTAGTTTTCTCAGTATTTTGTAAGTATGGATGTTTAAACATAATTTGTATTGTACTTTCGTAATATACATTGTATGTACTGCACAGTACAACATGATTAAGATGTGTGTTTCTATTGACCCTGACCTTCCCAACTCCATCAAAAACCGTCCCCCCCCCCCCCCCCCCCCCATTTTGGTGGGATTTTGGCAGGCAAGACATGAGGACCAAGTCCATCAAAACCCACCTAGACCATAGCAGTGTAGGATTTGTGGTGGATTTCGGCAGATTTGGTTCTAAATTATGTGAAGCAGAGTCAGTGATGGATTTTGGCGGATTTTGGTAATGTTCTTTTGGAGTTAGGGTTAATGTCTGTTCCTACATGTATGTCATGTGCAATTACGTACATGTAGATCTGCATATTCTTACACTTTGCATATTTTATAAACATACAGGTACATGTGTGCATGTACACTTTTCTTGCACATGTACATGTACATTGTATTGATATAACCTGGTACACTATTGATGTGAACTCTGTTCAAATACATGTCCATGTTTATATTTTTCATAACGTCATTTAAGCTAATTTGAATGAGCTTGTGTATTGTCTGTTTCATTTTTCTCCAGGAGAGTGTCATGTACAGTACAGTTAGCTGTGTTGGTTTTAATGGAATTCAATGTTAAATTTGTAAACAACTTCTTTTACAAGGCTCCTGTGATTATTGTTGGAGGCTGAGGCAATATGTTCTCCCTCATATCCAAAACCGTGTCTTTAAACTGTATTTTTTTTTCAAAATGCAGATCCTTCTGTCTGATGAAACTACCGACTGATGCGTTAACATGGATACCAAAGATGAAAGCCATCGGGAGCCAATACAGACAGAATATGACCAAACTCAGTTTGGGGAGAGACCAACAAATGATGATTCAGTTGCAAAACTAGAAGAAACAGCAGAGAAGGGCGAGGCTGCCGAAATCGACCACCAGAAAACGTTGCCAGCAGAGACCGTTGCAAACAATACTGCTCCTACGTCCCCCGAAATCAGTCCCGATGTCAGACTCAACGTCTTGCCGGAACTGTGCGAGTTTGCCTCCTTGGATTTCCTCCTGCAGCAGCTGCCGCGCAAAGCGCAGAGGGCCTCGCGGGCCCTGCCGGCCATCACGGTCGAGTTCACCTGCTTGGACGTCAACAAGGACCTGATTGTCTTGGGTGCCAACTTCTCCATGGTCTTTGTGTACGATCGCCAGGAGAACACGATTGTCAAGTTGAGATGTGAGGTAAGATTTTTTTAGTAAAAGTTGAGGCCTAGTTTACGTGTACAGGGTGAGTCCAAAAAAGTGAAACACAAACCCAAAGAAAGATATGTCATATTAACAAAAATATGTACATGTAGTACCAACAATAATTGTGACTGGTAAGCCAATTGAATAAACTACTTTTAGATGAAAAAAATTACATCAATCGCTCCATCCGTTCAAATGATATCACCATTTCAACAAAATGACCCTAAAATCTGTTTCATCCAAAATTGCGATTTCAAGAATTGTCGTTACAATTGTCTTCATACATCACCAGTGATAAAACCTCAGTTTAAAAGTTAAAAATATTCAACAAAGTCCTTTTGAAGGCCCATCTTTCAAAAAAAAAAGTTGATTTTATAAATCATATTGTTAGCCAAGCAGGGTTTTTAATAACGATATTGTGTACTACAGTTGTTGAAACAAACATTCGGTGTAATTCTGTATGTTGTTCCAAACAGTCAGAACAAATTGCTTTTTTGGACGAAGCTGATTTTAGGGTCATTTCGTTTAAATGGCGATATAATTTGAACGAATTAAGCAATTGAAATGATTTTTTCCATCTAAACGTAGTTTACTGAATTGGCTTAATACCATTCATAATTAACCTATCACGGTAGAATCGCATCAGAATCGCGTCAACGCAGCTTGTGAAATATTGTCCAATTACATAATATACAAATGGACGCGGAATGCGTAAAGTCTGAGACAAACAAAATTTAACATACAAAACTCCATAGGGTTGTCGAAGGGGCGTGGCTAACTCGCAAATGGCGATAGGTCAATTAATTTTTGGTGCTACAATTTTTTTTTTAAATATGAAATATATATCTTTGGGTTTGGGTTCTGCTTTATGTTACTCACCCTGTTGAGTAAATATTTGAAAAATGTTGCTTGATGTTTAAGTTCCCAGTGCACTTGTTGAGGAACAGTCTCGGTTGCCTGTTTATAATGATTCAGTGTGTCAATGTTTCGTCACAAACAGGACCGAAGTTGCCGCATAACCTGCGTCAAATTGCTGACGAGCATTGACCATCAGATTGCCGTGGGCACCTCCAATGGACAAGTAGAGGTGTACCTTCTGCCTGCAAAACGACCCAATCAAACCATCAAAGAGGTATGAAAAGTCCTTTCACACTATCGAAAAATCTCAGTGCTGACCCCGGGTCCAACACGGAGATTTTTGGAAAACCCTTCACACTAGCAATACTCCAACTAGCAAGACTCGTGTAGCATGTTCTGCGCGATGTCGCACCTGGGGCGTTGCGTTTTGAATTTAGAACTATAAAATTCTGACTCGCTGGTAGTGTTGCGCATGCCTACGTGAGGATTGTGAACGTTCAACCAATAAAACGGTAAGAGGCACTGGATTTTTAGGAGTCCACATTTTATGTGACACTGGAAAAGTGTTTAAGACCAGCTAGCCATGTCTTTATCATCCGTTTAAGACCGGCCACGTGACAGGCTCTCGACCAATAGGAATAGCTAAACTGTCAGGTATTTATGAATAAGGCTTATTTGAGGGTCATGCTATAAATTTGGAGTCCACATTTTTCCTGTCTCTGTTACATCAGACATCTATGATTTTATAATTTTGATAATAATAATGCGGTGCTTATACATGTAGCGCTTTATACCAAGGGTCTCAAAGCGCTTCACAATTATTACCCCTGTTCATCAGGCCATGAGACCAGTTTCTGCAGCAGCTCGAGATCAGCGCATTCTGGTCTCTACCTTCACAGGTACCCATTTACTATACCTGGGTGGAGAGAGGCAATTGTAGTAAAGTGACTTGCCCAAGAACACCAGCACCATATTCCCCATCAGGATTCGAACCCACGTACCATGGCACGTGAGTCGAATACCAAAACCATTGGACCACAGCACTCCACTCCGTGATGCACTCTTTAATGCAGTCGTTCTCCAAGAGTGATTATGAATAGCAAACTACTTATAAGCAAATAAATATCATTTGAAAGTATTCTTAATGATACTTGAATGTCAAATTATGAATTACCAAGGTAACGGGGAGAGGAAAAAAGTCGCACGTAAGGACTATTAGCACTGTTCTATATCTCATTGGAAAAGTCTGATCTATTCTTTGAATAGCTGAAGAAGTTTCTCGTCGACGGTGGCCACAAAAGCAACGTGACGTGTGCCGAATGGAGCGCCAATGGAATGAAGCTGTTTACCGGTGACTCGGTTGGGAATATTGTGTACTGTGATGTGGATTTTTACGAGGTGAGACATAATCTGCATCCGCATTAGTCTTTTTTGGGGGTAAAACTTCCGTAGACTGTTTTCAACTTAACCAAATTGAGTCCAGTGCGGACAGCCGGAAAACTTTGTCAAGTGTCGATTTTAAGTGTTATGCTCCGCGGCGGTAAGTTTTATGGGGCCAACTGGGTCGCAGAATTTCGTTGTTAATTTTGCACCTCTGAAAAGTCTCGTGAGGACGACTACTGCTATGTAAAACTGCTATTGTAATCACGTGACTCCGTGTGGGTCACCTATATTTATCAGTGTTATTCGCGGGTCATTTTTGTAGCCATGTCTATCCGTCAAGAACACAAATGGGAAAATGAAAGATCGATCGAAGCATGTATATTTTGTGCGTTTTTCCACAACCACATCCGTTGAAAGGTTAAAAGGTCAATCGCAGATTTTGAGCATGCTACGGTAAAGTTTACCTAACAAATGACTTTCTGCGGCCCAAAATTAACCCAAGTGCATGGAAAAATAACCCCGATGGAATGTTAGCAATCACTGGCAGTAACTTATATTTGGAGGTCGCTCTTAACAAAGAAATCTTTTTCAAATAACCAGCACAAAACATTTTAATACCACTCTTGAGATCCAACAAGAACTTGTGAAATACAAATAAGTGACAGATTTTTTTATGTGCGATACGTTCCACGTTTCTGACTCTCTCCAGAATAATTGCCACTCTGAGCTCATACTCGCAGAAGATATGCCGATCGTGCAGCTAAACTACGCTCACAAGATCCTGATAGTATCAACATTCAGCAGAACAGTGCTGTGCTATACTGATGAGAACTACAGGCTACAGCAAGTCGGTCAACAGCCAAGAAAAACGTTAGTGCCGCAGATAACGTATTTCATGGGTTTGGGTTTTTTTTTGGCTGACCCCAGGGGGCTAGCCTATAGTCCTATTTGTGCCTGACTGACTGACTAAGGTACTGACTCACTGACTGACTGACTGCTACTTGTGAATTAGAATACCTATAATAAGGGAATAAATGTGTGCTCGAGAGGTTTTAATCACTCTGTTTAAGACCGCTTAGAGTTTGGGTGCTGATAATTACCTGAGCCGGAGGCGAGGGTAATTACAGCACCCAGACTCTAAACGGTCTTAAACAGAGTGATTTATACCGACCGAGCACATATTTATTCCCATTCATAAATACCTTTTCGGTCAAAAAAAAATATAATATTTCGGTAAAAAATCCCGATTTTGTTCAACAAGTTCACTTCATGCTTTTTGAAACATCCCTCTAGCTAAATAATGGAGTGTTCAGCTGGCGATTAAGATGTAAACAATCCTTTCATGGAGATTGACGCGCGCGTAGCACGTTCTGCGCGATGTCGCGCACAATGCACCTTGGGCGTTGCGTTTTGAATTTAGAACTATAAAATTCTGACTCACTGGTAGTGTTGCGCATGCCTACGTGAGGACTGTGAACGTTCAACCAATAAAACGGTAAGAGGCACTGGATTTTTAGGAGTCCACATTTTATGTGACACTGGAAAAGTGTTTAAGACCAGCTAGCCATGTCTTTATCATCCGTTTAAGACTGGCCACGTGACAGGCTCTCGACCAATAGGAATGGCTAAACTGTCTGAGGTATTTATGAATGAATTTTTTTGAGTGCAATGATGAGAATACTTTCATTTGATGAAAGATGGAATGTTCCATTCAACAAAGCGAAAAGCTATTCTGAATCAACTGAATATATTCTGTATGCCCAAAAAACTTTCACTAAAACAGCGATGGCATTCTGTGTATTTGTGAGAATCACACTGTCAAAGATTGAGCAATTTGGGGCTCTCGTAAAAATAATAGTGACGAAATAATTATATAGATAACTGATGATGATCTACGTCATTTTGTCGTGTATTTGTTAAGTGTCCATAATACACCACTTCATGGTGTGTTGTGCATACCACATGTCAGGTGGTGATGCAACCAAGGATTTGTGTTCTATCTAGCCTAGAACACTGCCTAACAAAAGAAAAGTTAGCTGAAATCTAGTTTGAATTCGGGCGATTCACAAAGCAGTGCGCCACCAAAAGTTTGCCACGGAGAGTTCGTTTCTCCCAGTGCATTGTGAGAGATGGTCGACAAATTCGCAAATTGTTAGTTTTTCCGGTCAGTAGTTTCGTAAGCGTATGATTAGAGTATATGTTTGCCCTTTTTTTTTTTTTTTATCAATATGGTGTTTTTTTGTAAGGCGGCAGAATGCTGTTCCCCAATCTATAACGAATTACGGTGGTAGCTCAAGTTATCTACTGACACTCATTCAAATGGGACGTGTTTTTTTCGACCTTAAAGTTGAAAAATGGACTCTCCATGGCAAACTCTTGGTGGCGCACTGCATTATGGTGCTCCTGCTCATGAATCCCACATTTTTTCCCCTTTTTCCCAACAGCAAAGGGTACTTTGGTGCCCACTTTGTCCCTGGCCTGTGCAAGGCGAGCGGCGCGACTCTCTGCGCCACCCGGCCGGGATTACGCATGTGGCATGCCACCGCAGACGGCACGGTTCAAGAAACGCTCAAGTTTAAACACCTCCTGTCTAGCCAGCACCAGACGATCATGCTTAAGATGTCCACGCGACCCGCGGTCTGCAACACCGCGGACCTCCAATTTGGCCCCGTGTTGTTCTTCAAAGAGACCCTGGTACTGACGTGGTCACACAATTTGCTGGCCGTGCTCGACATCCACGGTCCTAGCGGAGCCAGGGTCATCGCAAGCAGCCAGGGGGACCTTGGGAGTATCGTTTCCGTGGCAACCTTCGGAGATGAGATTTACGTTCTCAGACGGGGAACCGATAGACAACTGATTCGGATTGCAACAACGCCGGAGTTCACACAACCAAAAGGTCTGCAAGGCGTCATCATAACACAAACGATACCTGACTTACAATGGATCCCTTTTCTGTGTCTGTATCTGTTTCCCAATACAAACACGCTCTGAATATAAGTTGCAGAAAGTTAGACACCAGAAAGTGTTTTTACAAAAACGAACCAACACCAATCAATTTTGATCTGTCCCATGCACAGTGCCAAATTCCTCCACTAACTTTTAGAATGCACTTCACTAAAAAAAAATAGACAGAGCCCCTACGTCTCATTGTAGTTTCACTCTCTGAAAAAAAGATTAGTTACAGTGATGTTAGGAGAAAGAGTTTTTACGAAATGTTTATTGGCTCTGAATTTGAAGGGAAAAAAATTGAAGTTGAAAATTTGCATATAAAATTTGCATTGGTGCATTGCTTTCTTTTCTCAGAAATATCTGAATTCAACCAAAATCATGTTCTCTGTTGGTTTATAATTGTAAGCTTCCCTCTTATTTCCATCAAGTTACAATAATCATGACTTTAAAGATCTCAATCATTAGACTTGACGCTTTGATCCTAGTCCAATGCATCCAGGTCAAATCACATATCGTCGTGTCCATGCACCAAGGTCGTTTCTCCTAAAATGGGTCGTACGTGAAACGCGAGTTTCAGAATGTCAAAAGGTCGTATCTCACTTAAAATAACCCGGATGTACACACAAAGTCAATGGACGTCGAGATACAACCTTGTTGTACAGAGCGTATTCGCACAAGATACGACTTTGTTGCAGAATGGAGTTACGACCCTGTAGCACTGATCTGACAATATCGAAGTTTTCCTTCTTCTGAGCAGATCCAAGGAGTGGTCAGTATCAATAGAAACCATTATTTTCTTATGCAGAACTTCCAGTGATGTCGGATGCCGAGCGCTTGTTGAAGTTGCCAGAATCAGCAGCTGGCTCCGGCCAGACGTCGGGTACCGACAGCCCCGGCACCCAGAGAAAAACCAGCTTCAGGCAAGGCCTGTCAGCCATGAAGAGCCTCTTCAGCAAAGCCAAGGAGGAACTGGCGGACACCACGGCTAAGTTGGTGCCCAAGTTTGGGAAACACGATTCCGAGGAGGGCCAGAGCGATGGATCCTCGCGACGAAGCAGCCAAGACAACATTCCTATCTTTTCCGGGGAGACTCCGGACGCAACTCTTTCGCCGGAGCTCCTGGCTGCAAGGTAAGGAGGAGAATCCACATTTAAAGCTACAGTCCATCATTTGTAATTTGTGCATTTTGTTCGTTTGAAGCAACAAGAGAGTTCAAAATCTAATGAAGGATACTGAGCAACTAACCTGATGAAGTTTCAGCTAAGCTTCAGCTGTACATTCCGAGAAAAACAACATTCTTAGATCTCAATTTCAAATCAAAAGTTACTGAATCATGTTTTGAATTGTTTTGAATTGCAGCTATACGCGATGTCGTGCACTGATCCAACGAATTACAACAACCGCGCGCGCGTGTGCGTCGTTCCAATACTTGTGCAAGCTGCGCTGAATAACAAAACAAACTACTAATTTAAATTTACCTACGGTGCTTCTTAAGAATCACCGTTGGAAATGCCTTCTATCGTTGATTAATTCAAAATGACAGCTTCCCAGAAAGAATAACTTCACAGGAAGTTTAGTTCCCTTACTATTTTTCAACCAAGTTTGTTTTTCAACAATAATTACGCCAATTACTTTTCGGATGGCTGCAAATGATGGACTCTAGCTTTAACCCTTTCCTCACCACTTCGCTGTCCCCAGAACTAAAACGTTTGTTCAGTCATGCATCGACTTCATTCACTCAAGAATAAGGTCCAATTTTGGTAAACATTTAGCGGAGCTTTCTCGCACATTTAAACATTTAGCAACACTTACAAAGGCTGCCATTGGCCCCAGTATGTGTGCGCCAGCGTAGGAGAAGCAGGGAACGTTGATCTTGGACTGGCTGCATAACATCAAACACTATAAATTGTATACAATGTATCTTATTGTCTTAATATGTATGTGCCGATCATTGCAAATTGTATAAATTGAATTTCCTTGGATGTGATTTCGCAAATGCTTCAAATGCTGTGTACATGTAAGTTGAAAAGGCTCACAGGCATCTTCGCTGAACTTTGTAAAGAAACAACTGGAGGACTTGTGTAAATACAAATGTACGAGGATACAAGGTCTGGCTCATTCTTAAAATTTTGGTCCCGTTTTTGCCGTTTAAACATTTAAGAAAACTTGTGAGCAGATTCTGATTTTTGTTTTCCCATTTAAACATGTAAACTTCACATCCTTAATGCCAGGTTTGCGGCAAGAACAGAGGCCAATCAATCAAAGACCAGAGAGCAATCATCCCCCGAAATTCCTCAGATACAGACGGAACCTTGCCAGGAAGTCACCGAGACACTTCAAGATCAAGCGGCATCGGCCCAGGCCACCGACCAGGCCGCCAACCAGGCTACCGAACAGGCTCCAGAACAGACGACGGGCGGAGAGGAACCACCCGTGATGACTCTCAATGAAAAGAAACTCTTGGAGATTGGACAGAAGAGCTTTGACGACGTCCTCTTTCAACCGACCAAACATTCCAAAAAGAAGAAGAAGAAAGCTCAGAAAGGTAAAAGAGCAAAAGGAAATCAAATCGAAAGGAAAAGAAAATACCAACTTCATTTGGATTTTCAAGCAAGTGTAAACATGATGGCAGCACATCACATTTCAGTTTTGTAAAATCAGTCACCAAGCTTCATTTTTACACTTTCCAGTTATACTTTTTGTGTTGTCAAAACAAACTTTTGAAAGACACTAATCAGTCCTAAATTCTATATGACCGTAGACCCAAAGACCCATATGTATGTTAAAGTTTAGGTTAAGTTTTTGGAAAAAAAATCTATAGCTTCTACATGTTTTCATGGATATTGATGAAACTTGGGCCAAGTTCGGGCAAGGACCATTAGTCGACTAGTGGTTGATTTGTGACGTACCTTACGCCTGCGCACTGATAGCAACGTGCGAACGTCTCTAGTCAAACGCTGGTCAAAATGTCATCGCAAAACTTCTGGATCCTGGCTCTCTGCTAGCGTTATGAATGCGCGCGGCTATTGGTTACCAGCGAAGCAACCAACCCCAGTAGGCTGGTTCCAAATAGTCGACTAGCGTAGTCAACCACCGTCGACTAGACAGAGTTCGGGCAAACGTTAGTTAACCATTGGTCAACCATTGGTCAACTACAGTCCTTGCGCGAACTTGGCCTAGGATGCAGTGACCCTTGGGTGGGAAGACACAATTCTTCATCAGATTACTGAGGTCAAAGGTTGTGTAGGGGTCACTAGAGGTCATTTTTCAAATACGCTTCCAATGTTTCTTTGTCTACAGAATTTGATGGATTTTAATGTAACTTGGATGGAGTGATCCATGGGTGGGGTTTCATCACAACTCATCTGAAATTGGAGGTCGAAGGTCATCTAAGGGTCATTGAGGTCGTTTTAAAATGCACACAATTTCTCTTTTTTAAGAACAAAAAACATCGGAAAAAAGTTGACACATGCGATTTGTGGATCACTTGTACTAGATTTTTCTTTGTCGGGACAAGCATTTTGACATTTTGGACACCATGTTTTTTGGATTTATTAGGAACAAAGAAAGATCGATCAGACAAAAAACACCGGAAAAAAGTTGACACATGCGATTTGCGGATCACTTGTACCAGATTTTTTCTTTGTCAGGACAAGCATTTTGACCTTTTGGACACCATGGTTTTTTTTTTTTTATTTATTAGGATCAAAGAAAGATCGATCGGCAACACCGTCCCCAATCCCAGATGGCTTTAACAGTCCCTCTCACAACGGAGGCAAGTCAGAATCTGACCGGAGGTGGACAGGCAGTACCGAGAGCGATAACCAGAGACTGAGGTCTGATAGACTTGAAAATGGAAAGCTTCGCGGCAGGTCCAAGAGTGACCCGAGTGAAATCGTGAAGGCTCACGCAGACAGCGTGAAAAGCACAGGATCGGAGGACCTTATGAACGGCGTGTCTAACAACAGCAGGCATGGCAGCAGTACTGCGAACAGTGGCAGGGAAAAAGATGATGCTGATATGGGTCAGACAGAAGCTGAACCTGTTAGAGTTGCGGGACACCCTGAATATTGTCAGTACCCCTCTGGGAAGGTCATTCTAGGAGGCGTGGTTTCCAGCAGTGTGGATGACGCAGCTCCGTGGGTCGGCACGCCGGTTGACAGTAGCATGTCCGACCCCAGCCCGAGAGATTTTCCAGGAACATTGAGATCTTGGGAAGACACCCCAGATGCTGCAAAACGAGGATTGCAAGAGGATGGCCACTGGATGATGAATACTAATAGTATACACTCGCTGAGGTCGGACACTGACAGCTTGAAATTGGACCTTGAAAAAACGGTACCTTCTGACAGATTGGACCAACCTAGGCAGTTCACGAATAACAAAGCCTCACCCGCGGGAGGCAATGTGGCATCGCCTCAATTTGGCACCCGCATGTCAGATTCCACCGATGAGGAGTTTTACCCAAAATACCTGGCTGAAACCCCGAGCAGCGATGCCAGCAACCCTCCGGAAGTCTTTGTAGTCGACGCGAGCCAACCACGAGTTCACCAGGAGCCGGTGCAGCCGTATGCGGATCCAGCAGATGACAATGATGAGGGTGCTTTGGAGGAAGCTCCAATCCCCGAGAACATCCAGCAAAGATTCGCTGGCAGCTGGATGCAGTGCAACACGCCGGGGTACATCATGCAGCTGGTGGTGTCTGACAAGCACGTCTGGTGCGTGGACAACCGCGACAAGGTCTACCATTCCCTAGTGTCCAACGTCACCATCAAGTGGAACAAGTTGAAGGACTCTGCAATGCAGATAGCCAGCTCCCCGAACGGAAACATCGTCTGGCGTCTGCATCGGAAATCGGGCACGGCTTTCGCGTGTGCCCCTATCAGCCCCCAGTCGCCGATTGGAACTAAGTGGTACGAGGCTTCCAAAGGAACCATCCATATCTGCTTGGATGAAAATATGGCCTGGGTGGTCAAGGGAAATGGTGACATCTGCGTGCATAAAGGCATGAGCCGCGATTTGCCACTCACGAGAGAGGAGCGCGTCAGCAGCAATGCTTACGTGGTGCAGATTGCCGCAAATCGGGGTGTGGTGTGGGCCATTGGGTCCAACAAGAAGGTCATGTACAGAGGCGACATCACGCGGACTGTTCCAGAAGGCAAAAAGTGGATGGATCTGGATGAGGAAAGGTAAGTGAATCAACCAAAATTGAAGTTGTAACACCTGAATAAAGTGGATTTATTTGACATCCATTTCAGACTGGTATTCAAGAATTTTTGGCCAAATTTTGAAGATTTGATTTGAATTTTAGTCAAGTTGGATATTTGAAACGGGAGTTACGATGTTGAAAGATCTACTGTTGCAATTATTCGAAGAGACTCAAGAGTCTAGTCAATGGAAGAGTACTAAATACATTTGGCATGTCCAATGCATTTGAATGTCCCTCTTAGTGGTATCTCCTATTACTATTATTATTATTGTTGGTTTATTGAAATTGAACTTTTTTTACAATTTTTACAATAAAAAAACAACATATAAACATTAAAAGACGGTAAAATTCCATAACAAAATTGAAATACTTCCTCAGAAAAATAAACATGTTATACACAAACACAAGACACCACAAGTTACTTACAACAATAAAATATATTAAGAAAAATACAGAGCAAACAACGCTACACAATATCAAAACTCAACACAGAAATATATATCTAAAACAAACACCCCCCCCCCCCCTTAGAAAAGTGAATGGTTGCTAACATACAACTTAATAAAAACAATACCCGAAATTGCACTTTGGAATACATGTACATGTATGACTAATTATTGTAGGTGGTTCCTGCCTTGAAAACAAGACAACACATAACAACAAATGTATCAATTACCAGAACCAGCACCCAAAAATATGTATCTCCTAACTCTCCAATTGTAACCATTGAGGAGTCACTTGTGCACTGTGTTTGGTTGTATCCATCCAATTCAAATTTGAACACTCTCATTACTCTCAGCCAATAACATAGCCACCCAGTCCTCGGAAGCCCATGCACATGGTTGTTGAATTAGTTTACTTAAATATTTCTAGTACAATGTAGATATGTGTTGGTTGCTTTGTCAATTTTTTGTTTGTGTAACATGTACCATCTTGCAGCTGCAAGCTTCGTTTTGTGAGCATAGCACTTGACAGTCGCAACGTGGGTTGGGGTATTGATGAAGAGGGTCTAGTCTGGTTCCGGAGTGGCGTGACACCCAGCTCGCCAAGAGGGGACGACAAGAAATGGTGGCAGGTACGCGTATTTGTTGGGCATTTTGGTAGTCAAATTTTCATGATGCGCATCGGCTGGGCGGCATTTCGAAGAAATTTCAGGCAACATGCGCGTGTGTCTAGAACAGTTTGCACTGCGCGCACACGTACAATTTGCGAAGGCAAAAATTGACTGTGTGTGAGGCTATTTGTATTAGTACATAAAATCCAGGAGCCAAGGACAAGTGTACAGAAAAGTGATGTTTGTTATCGCTGCATTCTTCTTGTAAATATTGTTGATGTACCCTAATTTGGCAGGCCCCCAACGTGGCGCACTTTGATTTTTCACATGTAGTGCCTTGTTAGAGCAAAACTGTTACCCCAAATTTTACAGAAAGTGAAATTTCTTCAAGCTCTAATCATTCCCGTTCATAAATTTTGAGTTCACGTACCCGCTCCAAAGTTCCAGAGAAATTTTACTTTGGCGTGATTCTCCAATTTTTTTTCGAAGTGCACAGTGAACCCTTTTAAAATGCACCTAAAACTAAGAAAATAATTTTGTGACAAACTTGTGGTTGCGTATGTAAGTAGAGATAATAATGATTTATCAGAATTTATCAATTTGAAAGAAATTCTGAAATGTTAACGTGGCCTTTTCCGAGATTTGTTCAGGTGCGCCACGTTAGGGAACACTCTGCCGAATTTGTGCCCAATTTCCGGACGACGACGTTTTTGAAAACCGGACTAAATTAACACTGAAATTGTTCACAAAGGTTCAACAGCAAGAATTATCAAGGTAATAGTTCCAGTATTTAGCTGAATGAACTTGAAGCTTGTCAACAAAGAGGTTTGGCAACACTGCATGGGGAAAGTCGAGGGAAACGTCAAAGTGTGCCACGTAAGGGAACACCACTATAATAATAAAATTACGAAACCTGTTCAAATCTGATAATCTGCCAAATTATCAAAATAAAAAATTTTGTTTTAGGTGGCTATATAACCTTTGAACTCTGTGAAATTGTGAACCTGCCTCAGGTGCCCATGGGGGAGTACCTCATGCAAGATCCCAGTGCGCTGAAGATGCTGCTCAACATAGCCGGCACCAACGCCACGGTGGATCGCATGACGACGTGGCTGAAGAGACAGTACTACCGGGCCACTCACATCGCGGCCAGCGCAGCCAGCGTGTGGGTCTGTGGGTCGTATCACTACAAGAGCTCCTTGCACGTATCCAAAGGAAATCTGCTCGGTAGGCAACATCACGCGCAAGATTAAAAGCCCTAACCCTTCAAAATCCCTCAAAATCCACTACGAGGCTTTTGTAGGATTTTGCAGGATTTAGGGAAGTACAGCCCAGCCACTATTACTTTTACAAGTTCGAAGAATTTTTCCATTCTGTATCTGGGCAGTTGTGGATTTAGGAAGGTTCATAATTATTATGTCTTTGGGAGTTTGGGTTAAGAAAGTTAAGAAAGTTAGTGGCGACATGAACAGTATACTATGTCAATCATCACCTGAGCCTTTTGGATTTTCCCGAGTAAAATTTTTTAATCTGTGCACTTGGGTCCTTAAGTTAATGGCAATCCAATCTTGTTGTTTAGGTTTTGTCTGTTAACATTGGGATATGCCCTTCACCAACCTAATTTTATAAACGGTGTGACACTTGAAGAAAAATATATTCACAAGCTTTGTTGGTTGTGATTTAAGTCTGTGACTTTCTTGGCATGCTGTCATTTTGAAGAAAACTATAAAACTGTTTCCAAAGATGCATCAAGTGAGGCATTTTTTGGAAATTTCCGTTAGTAGTTGGTTTGTAATTCGGCGAATCTGTGAATGGGTGCACGCAAGTGTTCCCACGTGGCACATGCGCATGTGGTTGCTATTATTCGTCGATTCAGGGTGTGAAATCGCGTAGCTGCAATCAGCTGAATGAAAACGTGTCCTGGATGCTGATTTCAGGTGCAATTCAAAATATGTCTCGGCAACTTTTGAACTGAATTTGAGATCCTAGAATATTGTTTTCTCGGAATATATAGCATTCACTGAGCTAAAAGTTCATCAAGTGAGTTGTTAAGCTCCCGTCTTCAGATTTTGAGCACTTTTGTTGCTTCCACAAATGCACAAATGACAATGATCTACTCTACATGTAACTACTCGACCACCAATATTGGCGGAGTTGGTTCGCTGGCCAGTTTGAATCGACATACCAGCTGGTACTGCCATCAGTGAATCAATCAAAACTCATTTTGTATCTTTCCGTGTCAGGTTCTGTGTGGGAGAGTGGCTGCCCAGTGGGTCTACCCATTTCAGCAGCGTGGGTCAGTGTCAGCGCTACTGGAGTGTATGGTCCTAGTGGTAAGAACGAAGAAAAGTCATCACATTAACACAGAGAGCACACATTGGTACATACAGGTTAGTTGAGGGAAACCACTATTGCAGACCTTTACTGGGGGCAAGGGGGCGACGCCCATGAAGATAATGTGGGATATAAGTCAGGCAAAAGGTCATAAATCTAAGGTCAACGGAGGTTAATAATGCTGTAATTAACAGTTTTGGGGGGAAGTTTGCAACATTGTACATGCTTTCATGGATTTTGATGAAATGTAGATGCAGTGACCCTTGGGTGGGAAGACACAATTCTTCATCTGATTACTGCGGTCAAAGGTCATGTAGGGGTCATTAGAGGTCACTGTTCAAACCGCCACAGATGAGTAATATATCTTGACCGAGTTGACCCCCTAAGTTTGCCATTTTTTTCACTCCTCATTAGGAATGATCTGGGCGGCCCTCAAATCTGGTGAGGTCTTCAGTTTCCCACCAGACACTCGCAAGCCCTTACAGGTGGACCCGCCGAGGGCTGGGGTCATCTTCAAGCATCTGAGCGCCACCTCTGACACCATGTGGGCGCTACAGGAGGACGGCGACATCTACGTCAGGAAGCAGATCAGCGAGAGGTGTCCGCAGGGACTGAGCTGGAAGAAACTGGTCCTGGATCAGCTAGGTGGGTAGGGACTCTGTGCAGAAGTATCGCCGCACTTGGGTTCCAAGAGTGTGTTAAGGGCGACTCAAATTCATTAGCCGAACCTTGCTCTACAGTTGAACAGTTGCTTTACCCTAACCCCTGGGCCCTTTTTGCTAGGAACCATCCTCAATCCTCCAAAATCCTCCAAAATGTTGCACTTACATGTATGTTCAAATGAACTATACCCACTGCCTTGATCCTTCAAAATCCTCCAACAGCCCTGCCTCAAAAATACATTCAGCCTCAATCCTCCAAAATACTTCTTTTCTTCAAACACCATTCATCCTCAATCCTCCCAAATCAATCGATACTGAATGTCCATGTGTCCTCCATCCTCCACAATCCTCCAATATTGTATGTTGCATTCAGCCTCAAATCCTTCAAAATCCTCCAAAACCGCCCGGAGGACTTTGGAGAATTGAGGAGGGTTAGGGTTAACCCTTGCTCTACCAGACCCTCCATTCACTTCTGTACTTGAAAAAAGTGACTCCCCTATGATTGTTGTACAGCCCTCCAATATCTGCAGCTAGTACTATGGTGGTGAACCACAGTACACTGCAAGAACTGCCAAATGGTATTGAAAGATAGCTTTGTCATGATGTGAGGAAAACTCTTTGGTCAGCAATCAACAGTTAGACCAAATTAAACAAGTCTGTGGTGGGATCCCCAAGCACTCCTAATCCCTCCAAACTAGCACCTTTGCTGTGCAGCAGACAAGCCTTTTAATACAATTCAGTTGGAGCCCTAAAATCACTTGGCTGGTACATGAGTCAAAGCATCTTCCAATTCACTTCTGTAGGCATGCATTGCGGTTAAGAGAATGCCCAATGTTCACTGCATAGACGTTAATGTGAGTTTGGGCAGCCATACACTCTAACGATCAGAGGGCATTGGCCTGTGTGGCTGACTGACAAAAATTACACTGTAAGATGCAAGATCAGAGCAAGGATCAAATCAAACATAACCAGCAATCAACCATTTATTCCGTTCCCAAAAGATTTAATAGAATATACCTTAATGTTGTGGGTGTCCCTGAGGCTGATCTTTGTTATAATCTAGTAACAATGAATGCACAAAAGGCTTAAAGGTATAGTCCATCATTTGTAATTTATGCATTTTGTTTGTTAAGCAACAAAAGAGGTCAATATCTGAAGAAGGATGCTGAACAACTAACCAGCTGAAGTTTCAGCTTAGCTGCATTTTTCGAGAAAAAAACATTTTAGGATCTTGATTTCAAATCAAAAGTTGCTGAATCATGTTTTGAATTGGGCCTGAATCCAGCGTCTGAGACACATTCTCACTGAGCCGATTGCAGCTACGCGATGTCGCGCACTGATCCGACGAATTATAGCAACCGCGCGTGCGTGTGCGTCGGCAATGCTTGCGCGCGCTTCGCCGAATAACAAAATGAACTACTAATTTGAATTTCCAAGAAGCACCGTTGGAAAGGCCTTCTTTCGTTGATTTCTCCAAAATGACAGCTTGCCAGAAAGAATGATTTCATAGGCAGTTTAGTCCCCTTACTATCTTTCAACCAAGTATGTTATGCAACAATAATTACGCCAGTTACTTTTTGGATAGCTGCAAATGATGGACTCTGGACTTAATCATTGCTATCTACGCAATACAAAACCACAGCCCTCTAGCTCTGCCTCAACGCATCAGGTCTATTGTGAATACTTCAAATATGTCATTTACATGATGGAGACACGTAACATACTCGATGGTATACCTCTTTTCAAAAGGTCCCTGTAAAGTTGTACATTTTTCCTGCGGCGCCGATGTGGTGTGGGCGTGCGACAACGAGGGCATGATCCATCTTCGTATCGGGGTGGACATCCCCTACGACGAAGCCCTACCACCAGCTTGGGTGCCCGTGGATGGCAGAGCCTCGGGATTCGGGGCCTGTTTTGAGCAGGTGTTCTGCAGTGTGGATAACCGGCTGGTCTGGGCGCTGGACAACAAGAGAGCGGTGTACGTCAGGAAAGGTATCTGCGAGGAGCTGCCTGTGGGTCTGGAGTGGGAGGTCGTGGAAGGTAATTTAGATTTTGTTTTTAACCCTAACCGGCCTGAATCCTTCAAAATCCTCTTTGCCAAAGTGGAGGAATTTGGAGGATTGAGGTTACATGGCAAAAGTGCGTTACTGATTTCGTAGGATGCACTTTGTCAAGGTCTTGGGCCGGACCTTGTGTTGTTTTTGCTCAGCCATCATAAATATAGGCCTGGATTATGCTTGAAATTCTCCACACTGCTCCAGGATGTCACTGGCCAAGCCTCAACATATTGACAGTCACTGCCGCAGGATTCAGGCAGTGGTCACCCCTCCACGGACCATATTCAAGAAACAGTGGAGGAATTTGCAGGATTTAGGCTATATGCTATTTTTCCGTGAGGCTAATTGGAGGGTTTTGCAGGATTCAGGCTACTTCCTAGCAAAAAGGCCTAGGGAGTTAGGGTTAATATTGGTTCTGCCTTATTCATGACATTGAAAAATTGAGGGTGACACTGTAAATAAACCTTTTTTTGGGAGGGGTTGGTTTTTTTTCCAGAAAATAACCAGTGGTGGAAAAGACAGTACAACAGACAATATGCAAATATCCCAAACCTACATTCTGTGCCAAGTAGTTAGTCAAAATCAATCAAGTGACTGTTTTCAACAGTTAAGAATTCCCAGCCTGCATAAAGCAAGTTGACTGGCTGTGACTGTTTATGTAACTCGATACAGCTCTGCTTTGAGTGTGTGTGATTGATAAGCTTTGTCTGTTGATTGAGTTTGACTAGTCATAGTGCTTGCTTGACATATGATCTGACTGCTGGTGACTAGCCTGTGTCAAATGTACAGCAGGGGAAGTGTATGGAATTTTTGACTGTCTGTGACTGTTTAAATAGGAGGAGGGTTAATGTTGTTGTACTTTGATGAATTAACCCTAACTCCCCAGCGTAATTTACTAGGAACCATACCCATTCTGGCAAATTCCAACATCCACATGGGAAATTGTACACACACACACACACTGTTGGACTTAGTTTCTGGAGGTATGCCAACCCCAGTGTAAAAGACCATCTGTTTAGGGGTACTGTACCTATCCCAACAGATTTAAACAAAACCTGCTGTTAAACTTTGATGGGTTGAGTTTGGTTAGGGTTAATGTTAATTATGGATGAAAAGATTGTTTAATCCTTTCAGCCCAACTGCAGATTTTCTATTTATAAGAGGTTTTTTAAATACTCTAACCTCAAAAACCAGTTATCATGATTCATTGATGTAAAGGGATTGTAAAATCCTTTGAATTTTTGTCCTCGTACAGGTGGCACACTTCCAAACATATTAATTTGCTTTTCAACGAAGAAAATTTGAAGTGCATAAAACAAAGCAAACCTAATCTAAAGTTAACATAATGAAGAGGTAATGAATGAATAATCTGAGCTATGAACCATATAGATGGGTTTTCATGTGCCATTTTGGTTCCTGGGTGAGGAGCCAATCTGATGGTTGATGAATAATAATCGTACAAGTTCATTATGGGTTGGTTAAAAAAGGAGGAATAAATACATGCTGTCTGACTGATTTCTGTCAAAACTTGAAAGAAATTAAAAAACAAAACTGCAGGGCTCGCGAAATCGGCTGCCCGACGTCCCGGGACAACCAATATATTTTGTCGGACAACCAGAAGTTTCAGGTTTCCAGCACGGTGGGCAACCACTTTTTTTTCAAAGGAATGAGGATTAGGGACAATAGGGGGTCCACGATTGCTGGTGTTTACGAAGATGCGTGTGTGTACGTGTGTTTCCAATAATATTATGACCAGACTAGTGTACACCATGTACCAGCGCGGCGCAGAGCGCGGGTACCGTAAACACGCAGGCACGGTCGGCCACAGTCGGCCATGCACGCTTGCAAACTGGCGATAGCGCAGCAGCCGAGTACAAAATATTTTGGTTGTCCTGGGAAGTCTGACAGCCAATTTTGCGAACCCTGAGCCACTTTAGGTAAAGCAGCCATGTACATTATTAGGATTTGGCCTTCAGTTTGGGGCAATATTTAAAGTTCTTTATTGGGCAACTGAAAATGAAATTCGGGCAACCAGATTTCAAGCACATCTGCCTGAAGGGCAACTACATTTTTAAAAAATTTTGCGAGGCCTGAACTGCATTTTGTGGTAATCTAAATTTGCAAAATATGTTCGGCAACTGTGTATTTACACTCTTGCTTGGCAACTCTCCATGACAGGGACACAAGCTACCCATCTGTGCATCAGCTGCAGTACAGTCTGGGCACTGTGCCCCAACGGCGACATAGCCTGCCGCTTTGGCATCACCGAGAAAAACTGCATGGGGGACTACTGGAAGAAGGTTCCTGGAAGCTATAAATATCTCTCAGGTATCTAATGGCAACGAGTCTTCATTTGGTTAAAGTGTCTGTATAATGAATTTTTCTGAACAACACATTTTGTGCTACTTTCTACTCTTCTAAAATATATGAAAACTATTTGGCATCTCTTTTTGGTTTAATCTTATTCAAAAGTGCACTTTTTTCAACATTTAAAATTGTCTATGCTTTTTTTGGACAAGTGAGGGCGCTGTTGCCATGATGTCATTTAAGGGAGACGCTGTTCAGTTTATGGGTTTTGTGTACAAATGTGAACCCAGAAATCTGCTCATTGGTAACATTTATGAGAAAGGTTTGCTCATTGGCTTACTGCCATGTACTAACACAACAACGAATCACCGAAGAAAAGAACATTTTCAACAGCAAAATATCCAAAATTCTAGCAACTTTTTGTGCACAAACCAATTGCAATATTGAGGTTTCTGCCTAATATGACATCACGCTTTTGCTCATGCATATGTGTTAAAAAAAACGTCGCAAAGCACCATTATCTTTCATGCTCAGAGTACGAGGCAGTCCTATTAGCTCATACACTTCAAAATAAAATCGGAAAATCACACAAAAGTAACATTTCTCTCCTGGTTTTGTTGTAAACTCAAGTCATATGAACAGGAATGTTTAAGGGCTCAATGAAATAATACCTACAGTGACTTTTTTGCTCTAGCAAGACACTTGAAGTAAAAATAAGTGCTCAACATTAGGAGCCGTGCCACGTTAGAAGCCATGCCACGTTAGGGGCTGTGCCGCGTTAGGAGCTGTGCCGCGTTAGAAGCCGTGCCACGTTAGAAGCCGTGCCGCGTTAGGGGCTGTGCCGCGTTAGAAGCCGTGCCACGTTAGAAGCCGTGCCGCGTTAGGGGCTGTGCCGCGTTACGGGCTGTGCCGCGTTACGGGCTGTATGGCTGTGCCGCGTTAGGGGCTGTGCCGCGTTAAGGGACATCAACAATGTACAACCTTGTAGTTCAGTGTATTTGGGCTAATTAAGACAAGGAATTAACTGCAGCACTGAAAGTTTCTTTCCCCACAATGAGTTAACATTCAACATCATATGTTTCTGCTTGACCTTTAACCCCACAGTGACCCAGAGCGATGACCTGTGGGCCATCAGTCACGACCTCAAACTGTTTCAACGGTTCACCAAGATGTTCCAACGCCAGGGGGTGCCGCAGGTGGAGCAGCCGGGCTCACCAATCAGCGAAGATGACTGGGAGTTACTGTAACCCGGAAACCTGCCGAAATAAACTGAAATTATTTAAATCTGTAATGTCGGGTGTCGTAAGCCTGTTTCATATTCAGTAAGTGGCTGCCGCCATACAGCTTTTGTTAAAGCTATAGTCCATCATTTGCAGCTATCCAAAAAGTGACTGACGTAATTATTGCTGAAAAACATACTTGGTTGAAAGATAGTAAGGGGACTAAACTCCCTGTGAATTTATTCTTTCTGGCATGCTGTCGTATTGAAGAAATCAGTGAAAGAAGGCCTTTCCTACAGTGCTTCTTAAGATGCACCGTTGGAAATTTCCGGTTATTATAGTGGGTTTTTTTATTTGGCGAAGCGCACGCAAGTGTTGACACGACGCGCACGCAGTTACTTTAATTCGTCGGATCAGTGCACGACATCGCGTAGCTGCAATCGGCTCAGTTAGAATGTGTCTCGGACACTGAATTCAGGCCCAATTCAAAACAAGATTCAGCAACTTTTGATTTGAAATTGAGATCCTAGAATGATGTTTTTCTCGAAATATATAGCTGAAGCTGAGCTGCAACTTCATCAGGTCAGTTGTTCAGCACCCTTCCTTAGATTTTGAGCTCGTTCGTTGCTTCAAACGAACAAAATGCACACATTACAAATGATGGACTATACCTTTAAAGTAACATTTTCTTGCATACACATTGCACTGGTTTGCTTCATCAAAAGTTGCCATTGACAGATGTGTATTATTTACATTTTTGCTTCTTTTTTTATAGAAACAGTTCTTTTGAAATATTAAAAAGTCCATATGAAAATTTTATGTAGAAATTAGAAATACATATATTGAGACAATGAATATTAGAAAGATAATTTGGCCCTATCTTGCATTTCTGTATTTACGCATATAACTCTTTGAACTTATTGTGTTGTAAGCTCAATATCTAAGCCTACTTGGGACAAACACTTATAATTAGGGTTGTGGGGTACTTGTGTATTAAGAAAAATGTCATATTGGATAACAGATGTGAAGTTTTCCATTAAAAGTAAGCAGTGGCATTATTTTCTGATTAACTTGACAAACTGCATTTAGGATGCTTATAATGCCCCCAAGAAAGACATGCACTTTGAAATTACTCAAATGCCTCATTCCGTTCCATTACTTGTTTTGCGTTTTCATTTTTTTTCTCTGAAAATATGACATTAAATATGTCAGGAATTAGGAATTATTAGGAATTGTCAGTAATTTCATAACATTTCTGCACCTACTATAATTCTATATGATGTCAATACAGAGACCATACCCGGTGATCCGTATGTATACATGCTTATTTAAATGATAAAATGTCTTTCCAGCATTTAATATCAAATTATGCAAATTCAATAATGCAGATAAATCTTAAGTGCAATTATTATTTATTGCTATATTTTGTTATTATTTTTTTTTATTATTATTATTATTATTTTAGCGAGTTCCATTTACTTTTATTCGAGTGTGATTTATGCAGTGTTGACGACAAACTCAATTATGTTAAAAGTCGTGTAACAATATATGTAATTTAGAAACCTTTCTTGGTTTTTTTATAATTTCTGTAGAGGTCTTTATATTTAAATATTTGAACAATTCATGCACTATCCCAAATACAGTTGGGTCAGTGCTACTGTACATATATTGACTTGCAATGAGTAACTCATAGTGAAGCTAGCACTGGACGTATGTAAGCGCATGTTCAATGTTCTTGACAGGTCATTTCGTAATACTTTGTTTGGTGCACATTATTCGCATTCGCAGTATTAAACAATTGTCAGATGAATGCTGTTGGGATTTAAACCGCCCCTGTGTGTATTTTGTGTAAGGAGTTAATACCAGATTTTTTTTACGACAAATAAATTGACCACTTAGTAGTTTCAGCCTACAATCTCCAAAATGCCGTTCGCTTGCCCGTGCTCTACTGTAGGTTTTCCCGGCTATTTTAAAACGTTTTCCATTCAGATTCACCATTTTTAACATTCAATTACGTCCAAGAAATATTTCACACGATTTTACCAAAACCAGTTTAGTCATTTACCATTCAATTTCAAAGTTTAGACATCCTCTTTAAATGAACACCAGGTCGAGAATATTCGTCGTTACAGATCAAATTCGTGTAATAAGCTGTTACCGAATGGCAGCATTCAGAGATCGAATTCGTCTTATATCATTATCAATCACTTTTATTTAAAACTTGTGTTAAGTAAATTAGTCTGGTGTGCGTTTGCGCATTTTCCTTGTGTCCCCTAGCACAATTTGGCACATTCGCTCGCATAATGTTATCGGACCAAGTCACCAAGTAGAGTACTGAACTCAAAGAACAGTTACCAAAAAAAGTGTAAAGATCACCAAGATCAACAAAACAAAACGAATTTGAAAAATTGAAAGAAAGAAATAGATGTCAAACACCACGAATCGATAACCCTGAGATCCCCGTGATTGTGCCTAAAATGCTTAGTCCGACATCCTCTAAGAAGATAAAATCAAAAGAAACTAACAATGAATTTATGAAGAAACAAGAAAAGAAAAAAGTGGAGAATTATTCTTATCAGCTGCCTATCTGCCTTCAACTGAAAATGTCACAATGAAGTATGACGAAATTGAACTAAATTATGATTAAATTATGTGGCATTAGACGAATTTGATTTCTGCAAAACACGTTTTTGGCGTAGACGAGACGAAATTGAATACTCCGAGACGAAAACGTGTGCTCATTGTTTGAATTTGCTTGAACTAAATTTGAAATTGTCTGACAAAAGACGAACGTAAACATTGGAAGTGCACTAAATCGATGTTGCTGGACGAATTTGAGCACATGTATTAGAATAGGTGAATTAGAATGATAAACGTTTTAAAATAGCTGGGAAAACCTACTAGAAAAAGCCCAGAAGATAGCTGCAAGATTCGTTTCAAACACCCATGGACGTGACACTAGCTGCCATCGTGAAAGATCTTGATTGGACACCCTTAGAAAACAGTATACCGCGCCTTTTGCGCTTTGTTTTTGTTTTTTATCCTGAATTGACTAATGGACATTGACCATACCAAATACATCGCCCCAAATACTAGAAAATCACGACGAGGACACAACAGACAGTTCCAACTCCAGCAGGCCAGGACCGACACATAATGCTTCTTCATTTTTCCTAAGAACACTCCAAAATTGGAATGATGACCTCCCGGACTCAACAGTGGCGCTCACCAACCCAGACTCTTTGACAAAACTTAATTTTCTCTCACCATGCGCACCTCCAGTTTACATTCCCCAGACAGAATATTTTGGAGGATACCAAGTACATGTACATGCACTGAAACTCGCCACATGCGCATGAGATAAAGAGATTTTACATAAGTGTATAGCCTAGCCATGAAGTCGCTGTGGTGGACCTCTGAAAGCAAAAATGCGAGGTGAATCAATCATGATTTGTTCCCGAAGCGCAGCAGTCGCGTCGTCATTACAATCCCAAACAGTTGAGGTGTCTAGACCCTTTGTCTTATGAGTGAAATCTTAATGTAAGGGCAAAGAAAGTGGGCGTCACTTGGGGCTTAATCAAGTTCCTTGCTCTCTGCTTGAGATACACGTAACACTAGGAGGGTCGTTGTACTCATTGTGCACAATAATATCATGTCACATATCTGTTTGTGTGCGATACACCTGAATAAGTTTCACCCGGCATACCGCAACGAATTAAGCCCCCTGTACCGTACATTTGGGAGGGTAGAGAGAGTGGCGCACCAGAGAAATTACCATCACAATAGACCAGGAAGGTCGCCCAACAAAAGGTATTATTTGGGTTATTGGTGAACGCCCAAAGTGCCTTTTGATAACGTCACGGAAATGTTGACTGCATGGGTATACGCAATATCTCGCACTGGCGTTTAGGTGCATGTGAAACGTGGACATTTTTCTTCCAAAGTTGTTGCTTTCGCGGAACATAGAAATGAGTACAGATCCTCGCGTGTGGAAGGCCATTTCTTGGGGGAATTGTTAATCGCTGTTCGTTAAGGTAAGACATAGTCTTTTCATACATTATAGTGTTAACAATTATGAGCCTCAAATCTCACTTAACAATTTGTGAGAAGTGCATGTATATCCCGGAAAGATTCCCATAACTGGCCATCACTTTTCGCCCTGTGCACAAACCGTATGCATGAGACTGGTCTGAAAATTTCCAAGTTCTTTATCAGTGCTAAATTAAACTTTTTAGGACATATTATCACTTTCTGATGGCTGACAGATCAGTCAAGGAAAAATTAGTGATGGCCAGATATGGGAATCTTTCCCTTCAGACAAACGTCTCATTGTTTTTAAACAATGAGATGGGTATGATATGATGCTTAAGAGCATCGTAGAAACCCATTTTCAAGGTTTGTTTGAAGTCACTGGGCTTTACTTACTAGTTTATACAATGTAATACAAGTTGATCACCTAAAAATGTAGTAATTTAAGATTACTATTTCGAAACATTTTTTTGCGACGAAATACGTACATGGGCGCCACTTTCCTTATTTATTTATTTATTTGGAAAGAGTTGTATTCAGACGCACTTGTTGTTGTTTTTGTTTGTTTTGCTTTGTTTGTTGGGTGTTTGTTTGTTTGTGTTTTTTTTGTTTTTTTTGTTTTAGTTTATTTTTCTATTTTGTGTTTTTACTAGTTTGATTTATGAGTTATTCGTTTTTATTTTGTTTTTGTCTTTTTAGCAAATTTGAAAATCATTCTCACTGTCCTAAATTCCTGATGTTTACTTCTGATAACAGACTATATCGTTGATACTAGTCCCATAAAATATGTGGCCAATTTACTGGACTACCTCCGTAAATAAAGGCCACACTTGGAACATGTACCCAAACATGTAGAACTTTGTCAAGTTTTTATTTTCTCATTTAGACTTTGTTTGTAATTTATTTATGCTTTAGAAGAACACTCACCCTTTTTAAAACGATAGAAAATTAATCCCTCCTTTTTCAGACGTCTATATTTCGTGTAATTTCCAGGTTCATTTTGCACACGTTAGCGTATGTAAATTCCAACACGAAATTACACGAAAAATAGACGTCTGAAAAAGGGGAACCAATTTTCTATCCCTTTTAAAGAGGTTGAGTGTGCTTCTAAAGCATAAATAAACTACAAACAAAGTCTAAATGTGAATATGAAACTTGACAAAGTGTGGCCTTTATTTACGGAGGTAGATTGGCCACATTTATGGGGCTACGTTGATACATGTACAATGATGAAACATTGGCATCAGGATAGTGCAAAATGTGAATAGCATCCCAAGTTGGTTTTCCCCAACATACTTTATTCACTAGCTGATCCCCGATCGGCTCCCAGTGTCGGTCTAATTTACCATGGTTTTTTTTAATCGAACTATATGGACGGGGAAATTGGTGTAGAGATATTCAGCTGATCTGCGGCTAACGTTTTGCAAACTGTTACGTCAATCTTTTACATACATTTGTAAAATATTCATTTGAGTTTTCCCGATTCACAGAATCCCATTCCTTTCAATATCCCACACATGCAGAGGATCATAGACCCTGCTATTTGTTATGATGCTTGGCAGTCACACATGAGAAGTCAGGAATTCGTTGTGCATAATAAGGCAGGATATAATTGCTTTCCGGGTTTGCGAATTTTCAGTCGACCGTGCAAACAAAATTACTGGTGTTGTATACCAAACGGAGACACCATTTGGAGAGATTATTTGTGTCATAATCCGGTACGTGATCACTGTACACCCACACTCTAAAAACTGTGTTTAGCAATTAAACACAATCCGTTGCTATCACTTTGTAAACATGTTTAGAAGCTAAACAGTAAGTGTTCAATTCCTAAACATCAATGTTCAATAGCTAAACACTATCCATCCTTACTCTAAACATGTTAAGTATTTAAACATGTTTAGAATTTAAACATGTTTACAAACTGTTAGCAAGAAAGTGTTTAGAAAAGTGTTTAATTGCTAAACATAGTTTTTGAGGCCCCTTTCAATGGCGAAAGCATTGTGCCACCACATCGTGCAAAGATACTGCCCGATGATGGATTGTATGAAGAAGATCCGACATGATGCTATCGCCATTGAAGGGTAAATCCGAGATAGAAATGCCTGGATTTGGCTATAGAATATACAGTGCTAGGACAGAACAAACCATGATATATGGTACAATGGTTATGTGTGGGCCTATACATGTGGATGAGGATGACTATAAGGATGTACATGTACATACAAAGAAAATGTACATTGTGCAGTATTGCACTAGTCAGAATCGAGTACGCTGGTAACACGTAACAAAGAAACTTGCTTTGCCAATGGGAGTGCAACTGAAGAATCAGTATTTTCATAGTGCTATTCACTGCATATCACTTTGACTAATGTATACGTTTTTGCCGAAGTATTTGTGCTCAGCACTCCCCAAAATATTAAATTGTAGGTCCTAGCCCAGGCCTACGTGTTTAGCACTTACACTACTCCGAAGTATGTGGGACTCTGGGACTCAAAGTTCCAAAACTTAAGATATTGAAAACGTGCAACATAAGAAAATAGACTGGCACATGAAACAAGCGGTAAAACACCCCTTTAGTACTGCAATTAACTGTGTCATAAAGAATCATCTGGTACCGGTCTCTATTTCTATCTCTCCATAGTCTGCCACCAGACTACCGAAGAGGTCGGTCTTTTCAAATAGTTGGACATGTACCAGTTTAGTATTCAAATTAAAATCACTTGGCTTCACTCTCAGGTTCAAACTATTGAAGAACAAATGTCCTTAAACAAAAATGAATTGAGACTTCCAACTTGGCTGGTGAAATACGAGGACCTTGTCCTTGCCTCATGGAAATTTTGGAGAATTTTGTCTTGAGTGATTAAAGTTGATTGGCCTTATTTTGTTTTGCATGTTTTTCTGCACTTACGGTCCCAGTCTAGCGTTAAGCACGGGCAGATAGGTGATGGCATAATGCCTTTGATGATACAAGCATTTCGCACATAGCCAGAGTATGTCATGAGAAAGATATTTGGCTAGAAAGATATTTGGCTATAGAGCCATCACAGATTTGTCCTTTAAAAAAATATAGTATAGAATAGCACGCGATGGCAGCCATTTTGAAAATTCAGAAAATTGCTTGTTATTCTACCCCTATTTTCTCAAAGGACGAATCTGCGATGGCCCTGTCGCAAAATATCTTTCTCATGAAATACTCTGACTGTGTGCCAAATTCAATGCTGGTGTCACTATCAAAGGCACAATTCCCCCAAATATTTCCCCTATTTGCCCCACTACTATAGCATCCATTGAAACATAGGTTTACCTGTAACTAAACGATTGTTTTCGTTATGTTTGTTGTTTGTTTGATTTCGTTTGGATTCCGGGCAAGTGTCATGTGAAGTGGTAACCATTTTAAGACTCGCAAAGCAAACCACTGTACGTCACTCATCCTTGATCCTTTCAAATCCTCAGAGATTTGGGAGGAGAACACTGTAGGCTAGAGGAAGGGGGAGCAAAGGTGTAACTTTTTAGGCTCTGGTGCTCCTTGAAGGAACACGAAAAAAAAAGAATGTGCCATGCATTGGGATCCGTCACAACGGAGTATTATTTTTTGGAGGGGGGGGGGGGAGGGGGACTTGGAAAGGTTTAACCCTTTTAGCGTCTTTTACAAGGAACTGGACCAAGTCCATCAAAATCCATCAATCACTGTGAGATGTGCGTCCAATACAAAACTGTACAGGGTGAGTCAAAAAAAGCGAAACCCAAATGTTGGGACTTCTGTTTTAGTGAAGTTCTGCATGTAGCACTTTTAAAATCTAGGATATGAAAGCTCAATTCATAAGCTTTCTTTTAGATACATTCATTTAGATACAAGATACATGTACTTTTGGAGATACGGAATTTTAAACACAACTACCGTTTTAAAGTTCTGTCCACGGATCACAAATAAAGGTGTGTGTTCTTTCAGCAAAACGAAACAATTCACACACATCCCTACGTGATTTGTTTTCGTTTTGCAGAAAGAACACTTACCTTCTGTTGATCCGTGGACAGAACTATAAAACGGTGGTTGTGTTGAAAATTCTGTAACTTCAAAAGTACATGAGTGAAAAAAGAAGGCTTTCATCTCCTAGATTTTGAAAGTGCTACATGCATAACTTCACTAAAACAATGGTCCCGACATTAAGGTTTTTTTTTACTCACCCTGTACATGACATAATGGAATCCACCACTGACGCACTGGTTGATATTCATGGACTTGCTAAGCATCGCTTTTATCACACTAGCAGTACAGAAAGCTATAGGCACTACCTAGCACTGCTGCAGGCCATTAGGCCCATGTCTTTCTTACTCAATCAATATTTAGTCACACCAGGCCTTCTGGACCAAGTCCCCCCAAATCCACCAAAATGGGGGGATGAATTTTGATGGAGTTGGGGTGGTTAGGTTTAAAGCAAAACCTGCTGGGCTGGTAGGTACGTTCCACATGACACTTGCGTTTATCGAGACAATGTTGAACTATACCTGGATGTTTAAAAGGTCGCATATTTTTCTTCATTGAAATGAAGGTTTAGTGGAGAATCGGAAGTTAACGTGTACCGAGCAGTATTTTCAAGATGAGTGGCACTGAAGCAGCAACTGGCCCGATGATGGTCGATGCAGGTACGCCTCTCTGCAACGATTTACCTCGTACATGCATATTATGAAGCATTAAAAACTGTATTATTGAAATATTGGTTTCGACGGTTCGTAAACCTCTTTAAATTGACAGTAAATATATAGTGATTGGCAGTCACATATTAATCTACAACTCGATACTCGTTTATTAGAAATCAAATGGCGATATTAGGTATTACAATAATACATGTTCACTTGCACTGCCGGCCGTTTGGTTATATTTAAAAGGCAAAATTTTGAATGTGCATTGGTAACCGCACTTTGCATTTGTTTTTTGCGGGGGGGGGGGGGCAAATTTGTTCTCAAAACTGGGGGCCGGGGGACCATACATACCTTGATCAGTACTAATGCGAGTGCGAAGCCCTTTAATAAACGGCGTGCGGTTCGGGGGCCGCTTAGGGCCCTGAAAACCTTTGGATTTTAGATGCTCTGTGGTGCGATCTGAGGCAATTTCTGACCACTTTAACCATTTCTTTTTAGCAAGAGATCATCATTTGCACATCGTTTTCGAGTTTGGAGTCATAAATCACCTATTCTGAGCTATAGAATCATTTGCTACATTCAATTAGGCTACAATTTCTTATTCGGGGACGAAAAAAGTGGTGGGACAAAAGAAATGGTACCCTCGATATGACACCTCAAAAAGTGGGGGGGGGGGACTTGACGGTCAGTCCCCCCATTTACACCCACGACCCCGAGACCTGTATGTTTTCCTCTTTTAATTTCGGAAAGCAAACAAGTCATTTGACTATACCTTCTGGGAAAAAAAATAACCTAAAAAGACCCCAAGTTCCCCTGGTAAGTAGGAACCAATCTACGCCACTACTGAAGTCTGTGTTTCAAAATTTGGATGTCTATCATTATGAGCAAGCGGGGACACACGTAGGGCCTACTTTTACATTTTCCCACAACTCGGCTTTTCTTTTCCTCGCAGTGACACCATCTGCGGCGGGTGACGCTGGCGGCAGTGGTACCGATGTCAACATCATCATCACGGTAGCTGCCTGCATCGGTGGACTGTTCCTTGTCGTTCTAATAATCTTCATCATCTTTGTCATATACTTCTATAGAAAACAGTGAGTCAAAGTTTGTTGGATGCTTTTGCTGACTAAAGTCACATAAAATGGAAGTAAAAGAGTAGGGGAACAATCGCCTTGACATTATTGTGAAAGTCGTCTCTTCCAAAACAATATTAATGTTCCACTAAATTTTCCACATTTTTTTTCGAAATCAGGTCTGCATGTATGATGCTTGGTTGGTTTTATTTTTTTAGAATGGCTTGTTGAATTTTCTTTTACATTAAATGATTGAATACGTAATGCAATACCTATTTACATATAAAACTGACTTGATTACAAATTGTCAATTGAGATATCTTGTTCAACCCGAACTCATTTGAATATGTGAAAAACCATATAAAAATTGGAGGATAAAGGACTTAATTATGAGAGCGAGTGAGCATAAATTGATGAATGACGTGATTCTATTGTTTTAAATCAGGTCCTTGTAAACCCAAAATCACGGAAAGAAATTCACCTTTTAACATTCAGTTGTTTTTCCCGTTATACAGGCTTAAAGATGACGAACTCGACAAGAAAAATCCATCACTCAGAGCAGACCGTCTAGACTGGTAAGACAAATCAACTAGGTTGAACAGTCGGCTATATTACATTATCATGACAGTCAATGTGAAATTTGTAAAGGTATTGGGGCATGGGATCTAAATGGTTTGAGGGAAGGGGTTGAAGACAGTATTAAGCTAATATATTGGAACTTAATATAGACAGAGAACTTTATAGGCCTATCCAGGTAATTTTTATGTGATGATTTCGTGTATTTTACCTATATTCACAAACAATGAACTGCACGGTTTCTTTTTTTTTTTTTCATATTTTGATTTGGGGCGTCTTGCTGATAACGCTCACGTGGATACCTCTCAACCAATAGGATTCCACGATCTAATACCATGAATTGTAACATGACTTTGGTCTCTTTGCATGCAGGAAGCAGCATTCGCTGGCCCACCAGTTTGGCGACATCAATGACGTCGACGTGATGTTGTGGACGGATCGGGGCCGCAAGGCCAACGACGAGACAGACAACCCCGCTTTCGGCAAAGACTTTGAGCCCCTTGATGTGGTAAGGTCATCAAAAGTTCTGTCAGCCGAAAAAATATATCCACCTAAAGAGGACCATTAATGCAAAAATGTTGCAAGTCTTGGGCAAGAACGAAGTCCGGAGGCTGGTTGGAAAACTGTAACACTCTAAAATCAAAATTACCACTGTCACTTGATGGAGTTAAAAATTATCATTAACCTTAACTCCCTGGCGTCTTTTACTAGGAACTGGACCAGGTCCATCAAAATTCATCAATCACTGTGCGTCCAATACAAAACTGTACATGACATAATGGAATCCACCACTGACGCACTGGTTGACATTCATGGACTTGCTAAACATGGCTTGTATCACAAAAGCAGTACAGGTAGCTAGGCAAAATCAATCGGATACCCATATCACTGCTTCAGGCCATAGGCTCAACGGTCCATTATTTGTCGTCCGCCGAGTTTTTCGTGCGATATCTCATTGGAAAACTCATAACTAATGTAATGCTAAGATATAATCAATTCGATATAAAAATCTAAAAGTACGTATACACCAACTTTAATTCTACAAATGGATTAATAGAATGTCATACATTTTGATGAACAAAAACATATAACATTGGAGTCAACTTTAGAACACAGGGCGAGTCAAAAAAACGAAACCCAAATGTCGGGACCTTTGTTTTAGTGAAGTTCTGCATGTAGCACTTTCAAAATGTACGATGTAAAAGCCGAATTCATAAGCTTTCTTTTAGTACAAGAATCATTCAAATCACTCATGTAATTTACAAGTTACGGAATTTTAAATACAACCACCGTTTTAAAGTTCTGTCCACGGATCACAAAAAAGGTGTGCGTTCTTCAGCAAAACGAAAATAAATCACATAGGGATGTGTGTCAATTGTTTTCGTTTTGCTGAAATAACCTTTTTGTGATCCGTGGACAGAACTTTAAAACGGTGTTTGTGTGTTTAAAATTCCGTAACTTGAAAAGTACATAGGTGATTTGAATGATTCTTATACTGAAAGAAAGCTTATATGAATTGGGCTTTCACATCCTAGATTTTGAAAGTGCTACATGCAGAAGTTCACTAAGAAAATGGTCCCGACATCTGGGTTTCGTTTTTTTTTACTCACCCTGTAGTACGTCTTTCTGTCATATAATGATCATTTTATAATCAGCTGCATAATGAACAGCATTGCGAGTCTTTCCTCGTTTACATTTGACATGACTCTAACGTTCCATAATTTAAGCATTAAAACTCCCTGCTGTCTTTTACTAAGTACTGGACCAAGTCCGCAAAACTCCATCAATCACACTGCTTCCAATGCATGCTTTGCTTTAGGCTTCCAGGTCCAAGTCCATCATACTCTGTCAATATTTGGTCAAACCAGGCCTACATGACCGAGTCCCCCCAAATCCACCATAATGTTGGGATGGATTTTGATGGAGTTGAGGGGGGGGGGGGGGGGGGTAGGGTTAATATGCGTGGTCTCAAAAAATGTATTGATTACAATGCTGCGTTTAACTTCAATGGCTTTATAACCACTTTTAAGCCATCATTGCCAAACGGTTACCATAATGTGCAAAAAATTAATCCAACTCACCGTTTCTCGACAGAACAACTTGAGGCGTTTTGACCTCACAGATGACGAAGCCGGGTCAGCACAGGAGACGGAAAGCACTGGCGACATGGTGGAGATCAACTTGGACGAGGAAGATGAGGAGGACAACCCAGGAGCCCCCGATACCCCCGGAGGCACCAAGCAGATCTCCATCCTGGATATGAACACGTGGGGCCAGCCCGGTACCTCCCGCCACAACTCGGTGCGAAGCGTGCGCGGCCTGGGCCCGCCGCCGTCATTCGAGCCCAGATCACCCGATGCCAGGTCGCAGGGGGGAGGGTCCCTTCGCTCGCAGAACGGCAGTCCGTTCCCGTACGCGTCCTACGAACCCGAGATCACACCTCGTCAGCAAACACTGGCGCCCGGATCCCAGAGGGGACTTCCCTTTACCGTCTCCAACCCGTCGAACGACCCCCGGTTTCAGTACACGCGCACCAACCCACTCATGGCTGAAGCTGTAGGCAGGAGTACCAACGACAAGTTTCCTTTCTCTGCGGGAGAGGCGGCGGGGTATTCCTCCCACGTGGAGCGCGACTTCGGTGGAACCGAAGACATCACGAGCGTGGAGTTCGATCGGTCGAGCAATCTGAGGGGTTCGCGCCGAAACCAGTCCGTGGTGGATTTCTACGAGAGCGGGACTCGAACCACCGGTTCCAGCTTCAGTCTGGCTCTCGAGGGAAGTGGTTCGATTGGCAAGAACTTGCTCTGGCAAAATAAAAGTTTCGGTGGTATCACTGGTATGATGGGTATGGGTAATAATACTAAGTAGGTAATTGATCTTTGAATGAAAATTGGTCCCGTGCTATTTTCGATTTCCACCCCGAAAAATAGACTTTTTAGAGAATAATTGGTTTTCTAGTAATACATTTACAAAACTGATTCATTTTTATGTCGCCTGAACGAAGTTTTGGGAGACACTAACTAGTCCTAAATTCTGTATGACCATAGACCCGTAGACCTGCAGACAGGTATGTTAAAGTTTTGAAAAAAATGAATAACTTCTACATGTTTTCATGGATTTTGATGAAACTTGGATGCAGTGACCATTATGGGTGGGAAGACACAACTCTTACAACGGATTACTGAGGTCAAAGGTCATGCAGGGGTCATTGTTCAAATATGCTTCGAATTGTTTTTTGTCTACAGAATTTGATGGGTTTTAATGTAACTTGGATGGCCCAGTGATCCTTGGGTGGGGGTTTATCACAACTCTTCCGAAATTGGAGGTCAAAGGTCATCTAGGGGTCATTTGAGGTCGTTTAAATATGCACAAAATTTGACCTTTTTGAAAAACACCAAAAAATATAAAGATCGACCGCGAAAAAAAGGCGACACGAGCGATCCGCGGATCACTTGTTTAAAAAGTGTTAATTTTCTAGCAATACAACGTCATTCATTTCTAAATGAACAATCGAATATTGAATAATGAATTTACGAGTTTCGAGTTATTTCCGGAACGACAATGATGCAGGCGGATATAGTGCATCGGAGCTGCAAATTGAAGAAACCCAAAATAAGAAAATATCAAAGATTTGCAGACGCCCCCCCCCCCCGATTTTTTTTTTTTAGGTTAAAGTAAAACAAAGGTTTAAATTAAACAAACGTAAAAAGTCTAATTTGTTGAAGAGCTCGGGAACAGCATCTGTAATTGATCATTTTTTTCTGATGCTCCGTGTTGGTAGCACTGATCTCTATTAGACTGACTGGATAGTGCTTCTGGCCGTGGGGTGAAGGCTTCGGGACGCCATTTTGACACTCCCTTTGGCCACGTAAAAGTATTATGCAAAGTCATACAAATATTTATATATTTGAACATATATTAACATGAGTAAAATAACACTGTGGGCAAACTGAATATACAAAAACCTGTTTGATGATCCAAATCGCTTCCTAAACTGTTATAAGTCTGCGCTTTTTATACGGATTCGTGCGTTGTGGGGCTTTGAGGGAGTTTCAAAATGGCCGCCGCGTGTGTGCGAGGGCGTTACGGTCTTGTGTACACGCATTGGTCAAAGGGCTATCCAGTCAGTATAATACTAGAGATCAGTGGTTGGCAGACACCTGTTATATTTGTAATTAAACGTACTGTGTTGTATTGTTCATGTTTTGATCAAGATCTTATATGCAATAACCGAGTCCATGAAACTGCTGAGCAGATACTGTTGCTGTGATGAGCAAATTTGCATACCTGACAGAGAGCTCATCACAACAATTGCATACATTTTTGGCTGGTAAATGTGTGTGTGTTTTTTTTGTTTGTTAACCAAATGTTTTCTTTGCTTATGGAATTTATGATGGTCCATGCAGATCAATTCAAGTTTTGGTAGGTTAATAAGATCTGTTCAACTCGATGATTTTTTGGGGGGCCAACCAAAAACCAACACAAAGACCATCTTTGTAAACTTATATGGTTGTACCAGATTTTATACCAGATTTTGATCATCCAGTGAGATCCATATCGACCTGTCTGTAAAAATGTGAAGCGCTTTTGATTACCATTTACTGTACATGCTCAAATCGTATTCTTGATTATTGGCCAAAGACCAAATATAAACATGTAGGTAATCATGGTTTTTGTTTTAAATAATTGTTCAAATTAATATTTTGTACAGATGTACATGATATATCCGTACATGCATTGAGGCATCATCGTTTGTTTTATTTTACAAAGATTCACTTTTGCATGGAATTGATTTGAATTATGGATGATTCTTAAACCAATCTCACAATTTTCGTGTAATTATTGTAATTATATTGTATATACAAAAATCATAATAATGATGTATCGGTAATTTATATGCAGAAGTGACAAGGGAGGTAAATAAAGTACATAACCAAGTCTGACGAATGTAATCTGTGCACTGCAGTTTAAGTCGTTCTCTCTTTCAAGTCTTTACCCGATCAGGGGCTGATCCAGGAATTTTTGAAGGGGTGGGTTCAGGCCCGTCAGATTTTGTTATGTCCGATTTTTGCGGACAGGCGGACATAATGGGTCGTATGTATAAAAACTTGTAAATGCTACGAAGTTTAAGCAAAAAGTAAAAGCATTTAATTTGGAGTACAAGCATTAAGGAAAAGCAAATGCTTGATTTCGTATGAATAAAAGTTTTCCTTTACTGTTCAGCATTTACTAGACAACAGGTAGCAAATGCTTCTTACTGTTGAATTGTTTTCATGGACGAATGATTGCCAACAATAGGGTTTCTTTTGTGTGTACGAACTGCCGCACACACACAGGGTTTACACGTGGTGTAATAGTCCAAATCAAGGTGATGCACAAGGGCGGATCCAGAACACAATTTGGGGGGGGGGGGCAAAAAAAATTTGTTCCCCCAAAAAAGTGGGTCAAAAAAATTACGGCGTGGGGTTCGGGGCCCGCTTAAGGGCCCCGAAAAATTTTTGGATTCTAGATGCTCTGTGGTGCGATCTGAGGCAATTTCTTACCACTTTAACCAATGTTTTTTTGAGGAAAAGATGGTGGTGTACTCATTGCCTGCCTTTATTGCGATGTCACTTAAAAAAAAAAAAAAATTGGTTTCGTTTTGGGGGGGGCCATGGCCCCCTTTGGCCCCCCCCCCTGGATCCGCCCTTGGTGATGCATACACAGTACATGTAGTAGTACAAACATTTTGATCCTCAAATCCAGCAAAAATGATGACTCTTTTCGGCAGTTGCAGAATACTAAAAAATTATACTTTCATCATTCATGAAAATTGTAAAGGTCCACAGTGTCCTGTAGACGTTACAATTGCATAAAAATCACAGACGTGTTAAAGTGGATAAAATCATGCCAACATTCGATACACAAAGAGTTTTGTTTATTGAAATATTAAAAAAATAATAGTTTGCAAAGATTGGTGACCTAATAAACTAAACAACCGATTTCCTTTTGTTCAGTCCCCAGGGTGCCGTTGGATAAAATTTATCCTTAATCATTCTGTGCCGCACTGAATTTTACGCTAACACTTCTCATACCGTGAACAAAATGCGAAATTATCGTTTCTAATTGTAGTAATAAAATACATAACAAAAAGTATTTAAATTGCGCATAAACATTAGTCAAAATACAGTGTACGGTATTATATGTAGTTTATTAACGTTTTGTGTCAATTTTGGGGCGATTAATATTAATAAATGCAGCAGTTTTTACGTAGAAGTATTTGCTTTATATTTTCAAGGTTGCCCCAACCCAGCCTTGAAAAATGACCATGCAGTAAATGCTTGAAATCTGAAGCATTTACTCCTTTTTATTCATACAAAATGAAGGAAAAGCTTCTAGTCTAGCAAAAACTAAAAAGTAATAAGTAAATACTTTTAGCATTAAGCAAATGCTTTCCAGTAAAAGCATTTGCTTCATTTTTATTCATACAAATGCAAGTAAATGCTTAAAAATAGGTAGTAAAAGCAAATGCTAGTTGCATACGACCCAATAATGCAGCACTGGCATACTTAAAATTGTGTGTACAAGCATCACATTCACTGTGTGGACTTCCGAACAAAAGAGGTCCACATAAACCAGGTAGCAGCAACGTTGTGTGGACTTGCCCACGTCCACACAGTGTTTTCCCCTCTCTGGCAAACAGGTTTAGAGGCATTTTTGGGTTAGGGTTATCCGTGGCAAAATGAAGAGAAACACAAAAGGGAATCATAGAAAAAAAATGGGTTGAAAGGGCTTTCACAGTGTGAGTAAATTTTTTTTTTTTTCGCAGGTTTTTCTTAACTACACGAAAACAAAGGAATGTCCACACTGTGTATAACGTAGGGGTGTGTGTGTGGGTGTGTGTCAAAGAGGGGGGGGGGGGTCGACTCCCCCTCTGGACATACGCGCCTGCCAATGATTGGAGTGTAGGGACCCCCACTCACCTTTACAATATATCACATGTTATAGCCATATCTCCAGCATGCTTAAGTTGAATCCCATCTGAAGGGGGCCGGTGGTGTTCGGAAGGGGGGGGGGGGGTTAAAGGAGAATAATGTAGAACTTAGAACGACTGGTGAGTTGTGGCACTTTCCAATTAATTGCCTTTTCCACACTTCAGCGTAATTATTTGTAGCAAATATCCAGTCCTCTGAAAAAAAAATGTACAAAAACTATGAAACATACATATTTGGTAAACATTTTTTTGCACAGTACTTTTTTTTCCAACATTTAAATGTGTATGCTTTTTCTGGTAACTGATGAGGGCGCTATTGATGTGATGTCACTTTAGGACAACCCAGTCTCCTTATTTTGTGTACATATCACAATTGACCAAGATGTGTGAATATCACATCTTAATATACTGCCCTCTCTCGCGAATCCGGAATGAGTTATAAATTTCATGGCGGTCAGCGTGTTTCGCTGCGTTAGGTCGCTGGTTTGAATGCTGGAGGTTGCTGGCTCGAATCCTGGAGGGAATTCTACATTTTTGTTTTCACCCCAAACTATTTTTTCTTCCCTAAATTGTGTATAATAAACTCCAGACGATCGCTTAAATGAAATTCAGCCTTTTCTTATCATTCATGGCTCTGGGGGAAACCATTCCGAAAGAGGGCAGTATATTCCTCCTATGTTAAAATGTGATACAATTGGTCAATTGTGATAGGTACACAAAATACGAAGGAGACTGGGATGCTTTATATAGGAATACACTATTCAGAAATCTGTGCGCAGTTGTTTCAATAAAGAAGAATTTTTTGTTTAACAATTTGAGAAAAAACAAACAAACAAGCTAATCTGCAGATTATAGGGTTTTTCTTTTGAAATTGTAAACCCAAACTTTGACTTTGGAACAATAACATGAGTGCACAAAGTTTTGTCATCGTCGTATTGTCATACACTGAAACAATGATATGAACACAAAGGCAGATTAATAACCACAGCAAACCCCGAAAATTCTGGTGACATTTTATGCTGAAGCAGATGTGAATATGAAGGTTGTGTTTTGAATGACATCACAGTTTTGCTTATGAATATTGAAATTAACATTAGCATAATAACCAAAAATGGCACCAAAATGCTCTG